GGGGGTGGGGGGAGGGAGGACCAGGCCTAAAACCTGAGTCTCTGGGAGGGCGACTGTGTCTGGGAACCGGGGGTGTGTGTGTGAGAAAAGAGGGTTGCGCCCTTCGCTTAGGATGGGGAGGGATCATTAATAATAATATTATTTAAATATTGATTCTTTAATGCTTTGTTTCATTTGTTTATTCATTTTGTTTGTTTGGTTCATAGGCTGACTTCCTCCCAACAAGAGCACACCAGGCGGCTGTCGGTATGAAAAATTCATTTGTTCATTCTTTCATTTAAAATGTTTCCCACCATCACCACGTTTCTCCTTGAGAAGGGCATTGAAATACTATAATATCAAAGGTAAAACAATAAGTCGTGTCCGACTCTTCGTGACCCCATGACTTAATGACTAAACATTTTTAATGTTTTACATATTTTTTAATCATTCAAAGCATTTTAAAAGGTTTTATAGTTTAACTGTTTTTAAAAAATATATATAACTTCTTGTGCTTTTTGCTTCCATTCTTTAATGTAAAACATTAAAAATGAGCTTAATTTAAAAAAAAAACCCAGCAACATTTAGGGACTTGGTCACAATGGTTAAAAGCTGGCGAAAAGAAAATATATTTTAAATAAACAAATTAAATGAAATATAATAATGTGAAAATAATGTAAAAAGCTGAAATAGCCAAGTTAGAGGGCAACCGAGAGCAGGGTGATGATGGTGGGAAACCCCTTCTGAGTCTTCTTTACCTGGAAAACCCCGTGAAGGGTCACCGTTAAGTCAGAATTGACTTGATAGCACATCAGCATCATCATTATTTTTATTATTATTATTAAGCAGTTGTATTTGGTTTGGGTCTTACCCTGCGTGGCGTTCAACTTTTCTTGTCCTGATGGCTCACGGCCGAACTCAGCCTCCCAGCCGGCAGAGACAGCGCTGGGGGAGGGGTGTGACTTGTCTTCTCAACCGTAGCTAAAACCACGGGACAGAAACAGGGGGGGGAAAGGCAGCCAGGCAGTCCCAGGAATGGAGGGTGGGAAGGGCTTCGGGGGCCGTCGCCCATCGCAGCAGACAAGGGTGTGGTTTTGTGATGGTGACAAAAGTCTCCTTTCTCTTCTTCCCCACAGACTCTCCTCCACCCACCACCCACCCCCGCAGCTCTTTCAGAATTGTGAATGTGCCACAGAGTCAAATCAGCGCTGGATCCACGGCCCTTCTACTCGGATCACCTTGGAGACTCCTGGAAACAGGTGGGGCGGACGCAGCGCCTTGGGTGCCCACATTTTCCGAGTCCTTTGCCCCTCCCTTATCAGACGGACGGTTTCCGTCCCCCAAAAGGACATAGAATCGCTACGAAGCCCTGGGTGTTTTCGGTCCCCTTCTTTTCCTTCCACCTCATGAGCTATTGGGTCCCGGCTGCTCTCACGTGGGCATCGTGATGAGGGGTCGGTTCTCTCACCTCCCAGGCTCACGGGTTCTAGCTGAGATTTGAGCTTTAGAAGCCCTTTGCGTAGTTGAAACTTGTGCACCAGCTGCTCCCGATCTTGGAGAGATCTGGTCTGGCCACAGTGATAACGTGCCTTAGTTACATCCGGGCTGGATTCCTGTAACGTGCACTAATTTGGGCAGCCTTTGGAAAGTGTTTGGAAACTTCAGTGGATCCAAAATGTGTGTTTCTGATGGGGACATGAGAGAGGGCCTTCTCGGTGGTAGCCTCTGGACTGTGGAACTCCCTTCCACTGGAGGCCAGACTGGCCCCATCTTTGCTGTTATTCCACAAGCAGGCCAAGTGACAACTTTGCTGTTCTTCCACAAGCAGGCCAAGTGACCTTTCTCTTCAGGCAAGGTCTCCCTCAGTGATGGGCTGCCTGAGTGGGGTTTTTGAAATGGATGGATGACTTTTAAATATGTTTTCAGTCTCGATTTTATTTACCATTTAAAATACATTTGTTTTAATTCTGTAAAAATATATTGTGTACTTCCTGTTTTTAGCTTTGCAGCATTGGCTCTTTAATGACATAAAGATGCCTTGCATCTTTTTAAAGGTGGGGTGAAAATATTTTTAAATAGTTAAGGGAAGAAATTCCTGCCTTGCTCCTTCTGATGGCTTGCTTACCTGATGGTGTTTTTGCAGCCTTCGAGAGCGTGGCCTCACTCTGCAAAAGACCCCTGGCATCGTACGCGCCCCCAGCCGAGCGACGGCTCCCCGGCCCTGACGGACCAACATGTCTCAAGCCACCAAACGCAAACACGTGGTGAAGGAAGTCCTGGAGGATTACGTGATTCCCTCGGAGAGGCAACAGATCGTCCGGGTGAGAACAGACTTTTTGCGATGCCGGCGTCCGGACACACCGGGGAGGGGGGGGGTCCAGCTGTGGAAAGTCTCCTTTGTTGGACTTAAAAGTGACTTTTCCCCCCCAAGCCTTCCTTGCTTTCTGCTGTGACCTGGCTTCAAGCCGTTCAGTTCAGTGCTGCTCATCTGGACCCTTCTTGATTATGGAACCGTCTTCTGCGACTCCTTGCTTGTTGTTCTTCCACCAGCAGGCAGAAATCTTTGCCTCTTTCAAAAATCTTTATAGACTCTAAGTAATGGCTGTTTAGGGAAGGGGTTTTAATGGTTTCCTGCTGGTCCCCCCACCCCCCAATTGTCAGGTTTTTAAAACTATTTTTTAACTTTAAGAGCATTTGTAAATTATAAAATTACATTTTAGCATAGTGTTGTTGTTATATGCCGTCAAGTCACCTCAGACGTACGGCGCCCGCCGTGAATGAGCAGTCTCCCAGATGCTCTGCCTTTGGAAACTCAAGCCGGGCCTTCCTTGAGGGTGTCGATCCATCTCATATGGAGTCTCCCTCATTTCCTGCTGCCTTCCCCCTCTCTCAGCGTTCTTGTCTTTTCGAAGGAATCCTGCCTTCTCATGAGGTGCCCGTCAGTGTGTTTTTATTGGCACCTATCCTGCTAAACCTGTCTTTATCTGGATCGGTGTTCGCTTTGCCACAAGCAGCTCGGGGTCCCAGTTTTGGGAGAAAGGTGGGCCCTAATTTGACCCCCGGGACAGGTTCTCGGCCACCTCCACTTTTGTCTCCCTTTCTGGCAACTGGAGAGAGAATTACAAAGAGGCTGCTCTTGAAGAAAGAAGAGGGGAAGGTTTATCCGTTCCCTCTTTGCTGTCTTTCCGGAAGCAGACAAAAGACTTTTCCGACAAGCTTTTTCTTAGTGGCTGGCAGTCTGAGAAGGTGTTTTTTGTGCTCTGTTGCTCTTAGGTGTGTTTTTAGTATTGATTTTGCTTACCATTTTTAGTGTAATCCTTTCTAGCTTGTAGCGCTATGGGGCGGTATATAAATAAAAAAAAAGTATATTGTCCTTGTAATGATGTCCCGTCACCATGGGTCGTTTTGAGGAGAAAGGCAGGGTAAACATATTTTAAATAAACAAATAAGGTTTGGGATCCCAGAGTGAATCCATTTTCGGATCCCCCTAAAACTAGGTGGCATTGGTGCTCTTAGGTGTGTTTTTAGTATTGATTTCGCTTACCATTTTTAGCGTCATCCTTTCTAGCTTTTGTATATTGTCCTTGTAATGATGTCTCGCCACCTAGCGCTATGGGGCGGTATATAAATAAAAAAAAAGTATATTGTCCTTGTAATGATGTCCCGTCACCATGGGTCGTTTTGAGGAGAAAGGCAGGGTAAACATATTTTAAATAAACAAATAAGGTTTGGGATCCCAGAATGAATCCATTTTCGAGTCCCCCTAAAACTAGGTGGCATTGGGAGAGTTCTGACAGCTGCTTATGCTTTTCTTCCCCCCCCCCCAGGTACTGGGGACCCCAGGCAACAACCTCCATGAGGTGGAGACCCCCGAGGGGACGCGTTTCCTTGCAAGCATGCCCACCAAGTTCCGGAAGAACATCTGGATCAAGAGAGGTGAGTAGGGTTGGCTGCGGTTCCGGCCACGAGCCGGGAAAGGCGTCCGGTCCCCTTGGCCTTGCTCCGAGACGCCCCAGATCACCTCCAGCCTCTCTCTCTCTGCCCTGCAGGTGACTTTGTGCTGGTTGATCCCATCGAAGAAGGGGAGAAGGTCAAAGCGGAGATCAGCTTTGTGCTTTACAAGGACCACGTGCGCTATTTGAAAAAGGAAGGCTACTGGTAAGTAGAAGGAAGACGGAAGAACAGGCTTAAAATAAATAAATAAAAAAAGCCCAGCTCTCCATTATTTCCCTCTCCCCCAGCAGAGATCGGAAAGGAGCTGCAACGGATCCTTTTTGATCATTGATTCTTTCACCGGGGTGTATGAGAGACAGCGTACGTTTCATTTTTAAAAAAATACATATTTTAGAAGCTTGAACAGCGATATTTCCAATTTTTGTAACGTGAAGTTAATTTTTTAAAAAAACACCACTCAGTGTTTGTGTGTATTAACATTGTACATGTATTTGTTTGTTTTTCTATTTTTACAATTTTGGTTAGGATGATGGCAAAGGGGAGGTTGGAGAGTTTCTTAAAAACCAGCAAGGGGGCACAAGACCGAAAAGTTAGGGGAACCCCCACTTTAAACCAAGAATGGGTCACGTCCAGACCTCTGGATGGTGTCGGGGTGGACTTTCCACCCACTTAGGGTCAGCAAAGGAAATCACGCAGAGTCTCCAAACCATTCAGGGTGTCACTTTGACCAAGGAGGCCATGTCTGTGTCCGGCTGCCTTTCACCTGTTTGTTTTCCTTCCGCAGGCCTGAAGCTTTCTTAGAGGAAGGGGCTGGAACTCATGGCGGCCGTCCTAAGGAGAGGTGAATATGTGAGCCAGGCTCCCAGGGATGGGTCAGGGAAGGGCAGAAGACGGTCGTAACCGCTCAGGCTTCTTGTTGCTGTTGGGAAGAGGTGGCCTCTTCAGGCCATCGGTGGTCAGACTGGCCTCGAGAGCGCTTCTCTGCCGAAGCCCCAGGGGATCTGCATGTCGGAGGCCCGTGGTGGGGGAGGCTTCACTGGTCGAAGAAACACACTCCAAAGTGGTTTTTTCAAGCCTTTGGTCCCTAGCTGTGGTTTTTTTGAGTTTGGGGTGCTGGAAAGCACAGGCACGGAGCCGTTAAAGCCCTGGTCTCTTTCCCCTGATCTCAAGGCTGACCTTCTTGCCTTATCCTCACCACCAACCCTGTAAGGTAGGACAGGCTGAGAGAGGGTGATTTGCCTGTCGTGGTCACCCAGCGAGGACTAGAATTTCGATTGCTGAACCCCCTGCACCACACTCTTGGAGCCAAAAAGACTCAGGGGTGGGGGTGGCTCTTTCTGGGCAGACCTTCGCGATCATGATGGGGAGCAGGACCTTCCAGAACGCCTTCACCACTTAGCCTTCGGCTTAATGTCTCTGGCTGCGGAGCCAGAGGTTGGGGGTTCAATTCCCCCACTGGGGCTCCTTGACAGGGGATAGACTGGATGATCTTAGAGGGTCCCTCTTCCAGCTCTGCCATTATTGGATATATTATATCAGCTTTGGAATCCCTTTGGGAAAAAGCCAGGTGTGCCTGTTTTAGCTTCTCAAACCATATTTCAACGTCTAGCCCGTTAGACCTAAAGTGTCGTAGAGCAGAATTGGGCGGGGAAACGCGGGGCGCTGCCAGGCCAGAAAAAGGGGATCAGCTTAAGCAGGAGACTCTCGCGCACCCCAGAGAAGAGCCCGCTGGCCTTGCCCACCCCGTCTTGTCTTTCTCCCTCCAGCCGGGAAGAAGGGCAACAAAGCCCGCCACGTTCCACAGGGGAAGAGGACTCCGAGGACGACGCTGACTTGTTTGTGAACACCAACCGAGCCGGTTACGAGTATACGGAGAGCCAGGACAGCAGCGGCTCAGAGGAGGAGGAAGAGGAGGAGGAGGAGGAAGAGGAGGAGAAGTAGCTCAGAGGTGGCGAAGGAGGTTGTCCTCTCCTCAGCCTCGGGCCTCCTCCTTTCATCAGCTTTTTTTGGGGGCCTCGGGCCTCCTCCTTTCATCAGCTTTTGGGGGGGGGGAATCATCCAGAGTCCGAGTGGGGGGCCCAAGCGTTCGGAGCAGCTGCCCTTGGAGGCCAGGAGCCTGCACGCAGGAAACGGACAGACGCCACAGCTCCTCCTGGATCTTCTCTCCACGGCGTCCAGACTGGAGGCCTGCCACATTCCATGCCGGCTCCTTCTCCTTCCCTTCCTCCTTTCTTTTGCCTTATTCAGTCAATGTGGCTCTCCGAACTTGGGGGGGGGCAGCAGCGGCTGGTGTGGTCCAGCGCAGGGCAGGGGCCACTGATCATTGCGGAACAGGAAGTGGCGGCTGGTTTTCCTCCCTCGCCAAAAGCCTTATGTCTTGCGGGCTGGGCTGCAGCAGGAGCTGGACAGCTAGCCCCGCCGGTGAGATGGCCACCCGAGGGCCAGCAGGACTAGGGGTGCTAGGATAAACTGCGCTGGGCCTGGAAGCTTTGCCGATTCAGCCCTCCTTCCTATTTCAGGGCATCTGCTGTAGCTCAAGCTCCTTTCTACTTCCGTCTCTTCCCCGAGGAGCGAATGCGGCTGTTCTGTTTGCCGGACACGCTTGTTTCAATAAACGTTAAGAGACGACCAGCAGAGCTACAGTTACTTAACCCTTTGCTTAATCTATTTAGGTCGTTTGCAGAATAGAGGTAACGAGCTAGGATCGTGCTCATAAAAGCAGAGCATAAGGACACAGTGGGCAGATTGCTCTGTGTTTGTTTGCCGGCAAGCCGATCCTCTTCTTTTTAAATGCTATTTAAAGGCATTTAAGAACTCGTCCGTGTTGTGCTGGCAGAAGAAAGAGGCTTGACCACGAGTGTGGAAGGAGCTGCGTTTATTCCGTGATTTGATTTCACATACAGATTTAAAAAAAGAAAACAGGTCGAGGCTCACAACTCAGCTTCCCAACTATGTACACAGAGGCTCCCCTCGCGCCCCCCCCGGGAAGTGGGGAAGCGAGCGAGTGCCGGCGGGCCCCCCCTCTTGAAAGGCTCCCGCGAGCGGAGAAGGATGGAGGTCCTCTGGGTGCCCCCAGAATGGCCGAGCCCCCAGCGGGGAGCAAGAATTTCCCTCCCGCAGTGGGAAAGGGGGGGAGGTGTTCACTTGGTGATGGTGTTTCTGTGAAGGAAGGCAGAGAAAGGTTCGTGAGAAGCTGTGAGGCAGGAAGGGAGGGGTCCCCACTCCCAGAGGGCCCACCTGTCTCCCCCCCCACAAGCCAGCCCCCCCTTTTCCGCCCTTACGCGTTCATGCTCTTCCCGCTTCCGCTGAGCACGATGTAGGGGGTCTTCTGGGCCTTCTGCTTCTCCTGCAGCAAAGCCACTGTCCCCAACGGGGTGTCGCTGGAACTCATCTTCTTCAGGAGCTGCGGGAGGGGAGAGACGAGAGGGCCGTCGCTGAGGCTCCAGGGAGGGCCACGCAGGGCATCGCCCTCTCGAGAGGCTTGGGGCAAGACCCCCCCCCTCAGGGCCACGGCCCCTCTGGGTTGTGGCCTGATACACCGCGGGGGGGTGGGGGAGGCTGCCCAACCCAGGCTCAGGCACGGAGTAGTGATTTTCAGAAGCCAGTCGCCCTTTCCCGACTCTGGAGGGGACGAACCTCCAGCCTGTCCTGATCCAGCCACTCCCCCCTCCCCGAGGGTGGGATTCGCCCGGCACTGCTGGACTCGGCCCAGTTCTGCTTCCCTCGTAGGAGAAAAGCCGACTGGGAGAGGGAAACGGGATCTTACTTCTTTATTTCACTTCTATCCTGCCCACCAAGACCAAAAGTACTCAGCTGGGAAGCCCACGACAGTGGGGAGGGTGCTCGCCTCCCTTGGTCCCTGCCCCATGATGCATGCACCCCATGGGATGGTGGGGATGTAGGTCGGGACCCCAAACTGGTTCATGCCCCCCCCACATCTTAGTGGAAGAGAGTGGGACATGAGCGGAGAGCTGTTGCAGAGAGACCCACGGAAGGGAGAGGCTCTCCAGGGCCCCAGTTGTGGCCCGAACAGGGGTCCCCCAGGGAATCGGAGGGAAAGCGTCGGCCACAACTCACCGCCTCCTCGTCCAGCTTCTTCATGCGCCGCTCCGTCTTCATCTTGCCAGACCCTTTGCCATGGAAGCGGTGGGACAGCTGCCGGAAAGCCTGGCAGAAAAAGGGGCGCGCGCACACAGAGGGTGAGGGGCTGAGGCAGCAGGGAAGGAACGCCTCCCAGCGCCCTGAGGCCAGAGACTGCAAGGGCCACGGCACCAGGCCACGTTCTTTGCCACGAGGCCTTGCGTGATGCAATGAAATGCCCATCGGGCTGTTAAAAAAGGGGATTCCCAGCTTGTCCCGCCCCCCAACCTCTACGAGCTTTATAAACAAAGTCGGCAAAATCATGTCCGAATTGGCAACCCGGAGACTTGGGGGGGGGAGGCTCTCCACGAGAGCGGCTGCCATGATTTGCGGGTGAAGCTGCTAAGATGAAGTCAAGTCGGCTTTATTCCCGGCGAAAGGGCCACCCGAAATGCCTTCAGCAGGGCCACCGCCTGGCCGAGAAACCTTCCCTCCCACCGGGCTGGGAGGCACACCTTCCAGCTGCCACCTTTTGGCACCGGAGACGAGAAAGGGGGCCCCCAGCCTCCCACCTACCTCCTTGGGCGTGAGTTTGCGCCCCGTCTCGTCCACGTATTCTATCTTGACGTCCGGCTTGTAGCCGTCCTTCTCCTTGAAGTCTTGGGTGAAGCCTCGGTACTCTTCCCGACGGCTGTATTTGTCATCGATGGCCCTGGGGAGCAAGGGGGGGGGGACGAGAGAGACCGGCTATCCTAAACCAGCGTCCTCACAATGTGGGTTGTGTTGTTTCTCAGCGCTCACGTCTCCTGGATCCCCCAAAACCTCACATTTCTACAGAACAGTGCAGTGGAAAGAGGAGGGTGCCAGGGGAGAGAAAAGAAAGCCTGCCCCAAGTCAGTCGTGGGGAACTTTCTGACCCTTTTGCCCCAGCAAGGCTCCTAAGGAGGTCGGCAGCCGGGCTGCCGCAGTGTGTTTCGAGACTTTGAGTGGCCTCTGTTTGATGCTGACCCTCAATGGCTCAAGTTTTTGCTCTGGCAAACTCTAGCCTGGAAGCCAGGCCATTTCGTGCTGGCTCTTCCTCCTTTCCTGCTGCTTTCAAAATCCCTTGTGTAGGTTTCCCATCTTCCCAAAACCCAGCGGGAACCGCACGGTCCCCCAACAGCCACGGGGCTTATGAGCCGGCAAGTAAAAAGCCTGACCTCTCCAAACGACTTCCACCCCCCCCCCAAAACGAGCTGATCTCTTGGAAGACATCCCACCCCCAGGGAGAAAGAAGCCCAAGGGCCAAACAAACAAACGCTGCGTCTAGAATGTGGGACCTATTTTCTCCCAGGAATTTTTTTTTCTTTTTAAATCTGAAGCAAAACTGAACGGCAAGCTGCTGGAACCTGGAACCTCGTGGATGGAGGACCTCCAGGGTTCACGGCTGCGCAGGCGATGACGGTGCAAGACCGGGTAGGTCTGGATCTGTGTGGCTTTTGCAGCAAGACCCACAACCCTCTATGGGGCGCTGAGCCTCCTAGAAAGTTCCCTCTGGGCTCGAGACTGGGATGACCCCATGGCCGGGACACTCCCTGGTCTCTAACAAGAGGCGTCACAGTGGAAAATTTACTCCCCCGCCCCCAGCCTCCACTCTGGCAACCCAGCCCGGACCGCTCACATCTTGTCCTCGATGCAGTAGACGGCAGACGGGAGGGTTTTGGGTGCCTTCACTCGGGCCACCTTCTGCACTGTGGTCTCCAGCAAGCCTGTCGGGGAAGAAAGAGGGAGACCGAAAGATCCCATGGGTGCACAACCTGCCTTGGAATGGGAGCCAGGGCTCGGGACGCTCCAGAAGGTGCCAGAACACCCCTGCCCGGCTGTGCCTTTTTCCTTCTGCTCCCCGAGAGGGAGAGCCACGCCGCCCGCCGCCACGGGGAGCCCGTGGCCGCCCGCTGCCCCTCACCTTTGTTCTGGCACAGCATCAGGGCGGCGGCCAGGCCCCGGTTGACGATGGGCTCCTCGTCCAGGATGGTGGTTGAGGAGGTGGAGAACTGCGGGCCAGAGAGGAAGAGCGGAAGCTCAGCCGGGTCAGGCGGCGGGAGAGAACGCCCATCGCCGGCAGAACTGAGGCGGCTCGGGAACACCACCCCACCCCTTCCGAGGGGAGGGAGACCGGCCCACTCACGTCCTGCTGCTGCTTCTCCTCGTCCAGGTTGACCGTGCTCCACCCGATGTTCTCCTCGCCCTCCGAGTCGGAGCCCCCCTCGGCGGATCTCTCGTCGTCGCGCTCAAAATCCTGGGAGGGGAGAAGAGGCCGGGATGAAGGAAGCCAGAGTCTCCGGTCGGGTTGGGAAAAGGCTCCCGCTTCTAAGGAGGGAGAGCCGCCGGGGCAGACGGGAGCTGGGCCTGTTCTCCCAGACCCCGTTGTGTTTTCTCCCGAGGAATTCCTGCTTGGCCCGGCCCCTACCATGAGCTCCTCCTGGTCCTCGCGGTTGCCGGCCAGGCCGTAGGTGGGGATCTCGCCCAGGGTGCGGCAAAACTCGGAGGTGGCGTTGAAGACGATGGCCCCCTTCCTCTCTAGCTCGTCGTCGTCCTCCTGGCTGCGGCTGGTCTTCAGTTTCTTTACAATCTCTATCACCTGGAAGTGGGGTCAGGGAAGGAATTCAGTCACCCCGAGACACCAGGTCTCCAGGAGAGGAGCGGTCCAGGGACCCCACGGATGCAGAGAGGTCAGTTCTAGGGCTGCCTGCACTGAGCCACCCGGGATCCTGCAGGCCTCACGGTCTTCGCTTCAGAAGCAGAAGATCGCGGCTGAATGTTTATGCTTAAAAGTTTGATAAGTCGCTTGAATGAGTCATAAATGTTTCAGGCTAGGCTTGAGTCGTTTATGAGAAACAATCTAACTTATAAAGCCCTGAACGTCTTGGTTCCAAGCGATCTCAAGGACCGCGTCTCCATTTACTAGCCTGCCCCGGGGGGGTTTGAAAGGGGAGGCCTTTCTCTTGGTCTCGCCCCCTTCACAAGCATGTCTGGTGGGGGGACACGGGAGAAGGCCCTTGTCAGTGGCTGTTCCCAGAGCCTCTGGAACTCCCTGCCACAGGAAGCCAAGCTGGCCCTCACTCTTGGCTGTCCTTCCGCAAGGAAGCAAAGAGACCTTGCTCTTCAGGAAAGCTTTCCCTGGCGTGCCGGGCTCTGCCTGAGTGGGGTTTATAGATGGATGGTTGCAACTTGTTGCTGTGTAGGTGCGTTCTTTGTGTTGATTTTGTTTACCGTTTTATAGTACGGCATTTGACTGTGTTGATTTTGTTTACCGTTTTATAGTATGGCATTTGTTTGACTCTTTTCAGTATTTGCACACTTACTGTTTTTAACTTTTAAATATGTGTTTTTACTAACGTAGCCCAAACTTTTAAATATGTGTTTTTACTAACGTAACCCACCTTGAGTCCTTTGTAAGGAGAAAAGTGGGGTAAAACAACAATTTAAATCAACCAACCAATCGTGGTGAAAGGTATAAAACAAAACAACTTTATAAAAACACTTTATAAAAAAGAACTACAAAAAAAAATACAAACTGTAGTTTTGCCCTTGAACGAAAATAACAGAACAGGGGAAAAATAAAGATGCTGCTTTCTTGCCTCCTAGGGACTGACCTCAAAGTGCCTCGGAGCATCATCCTCCCCGCCCCCTCGGGCGGTTCGGCTCCCTCCCTCTCACCTTCTCCCCACTGTCCTTCAGCTGCTGGATCTGTCTCAGCTTCCGCCCTTTTTCCAGCTGTTTCTGCAGCTCCTCTTCGGCCTCGTCTTCCTCCAGGGCTGCGGGAGAGTCGGGGCCCTGGAGAGCATCCTCTGTACCCAGGGGGAGGCGGAGGCGGGGGAAGAGACAGACAGAAGGACTCCGTCTTAATGGCAGGTTAGACCCTGGCATTCTCCAGCCCATCCCTTTCTCGCCCTCTGCTCAGTCAACGGATCCCCTTTCCCTTGCCAGCGTCTCCTCATTAGTCCAACGCTCCCCCCCATCGTTCAGGACAGAAGGGGCCTCAGAGCCTGTCCTGCATACTTTAATTTATTGATTTGGGTCATTTGTTTGATTGTCTTGTTTATAGGTCGCCTTCCTCCCGAGGCCGGAGGAAATCAAGGTGGCTAGCTCATGGTATTAAAAAAGACAGAAGCACAAACTCAACTCTCCCCCCCTCCCCAGTCAGTTTTCCAATGTCGTTTTCCACCTGCCTGTCTCCCCACAAGGACCCGTCCTGAGATGCCAGCCTGAGGGCAATGCCCCTTTGCCGTCCCCCCCGTCAGTCCCACCTGCCCCCCCTGGTTTCTTTCCAACGACGCCCCAGCGCTGGGCGGGAGCCCCTCCTCACCGTCTTCCCCGCTGCTGATGTCCATCCTCTCCACTCGGAGGTCATCGGACGGGGGCACCTGCTCGGCTGCTCCGTTCCTCCTGGGCTCCCCGTAGCCATCTTCGTTCTCTTCCTCTTCCTCCTCCTTGATGACCCTCCGCCTGCCTCGGCCGCGAGCCCTGGAGGACCCCATGGAAGAGAGATGAAGCCGAGACCGCGCGCAGCGGATTTTATTTTGCAGTGTAACGTGGACATAACTGACATTTCTAAAGTAACACGAGCAGGACAGATTTTTTTTTCCTTCACTGAATAATTTCTTCTATTCACTTTGAACAGTTCCTTTTAAAGGGACATTTTAAATGTATTGTCGGTGGGAATTTGTCCAGATTTTATGCCCTTTCATAATTGCCCCCCCTCCATTTACAAAAATTATTAACACAAACAAGCACAGGGGAATCGCCCCCCCCCATTTCAACACTGTCGCAGGTCTTAACAAGCGAGAGGAGGGTGGGTTCAAGAGGAGCGTGCAGGTGAGCAGGGCAGGCGCTGGATCCCTCCAGCTGAGGCTGGACGTAGCCCTCAAGCGTCCCCCTGGGGAAGCATCTCTGGAACCAGGCCGGCTGAGAAAAAGACCGAGGGCGGAAGGCAGAGGCGTCTGGGAAAACGTGGAGCAAAACCCAGCCTGGATTTGCAGGGGTGTGTGGGGGGGCAAGAGAACCAAAAGCTAGCCTTCCCCCAAAGGAGGGTCCATCTGTTCGGCCCGGGAGAGAGGCCGCTCGCCGCCATCCGCTTCTGGACCTTCCCATGGCTGGCAGGCCCTAAACCCCGTCCCGCTCACCCCACCGCCCGGCCCCACCTGGACC